ACAACAAGACGGAATCAGTAACAGCGACGTCTGTCTGGACAAACTTCCTTCTTACAGTCTGACGGTGAGTGTAATATTTTGTGTGAACTGTAGATAAAGCTCTAGTCATTCTTAATTTCGAAAATTTAACAGAGGGGGGACAGACACCTTTAAGCTCCGGCCGCTTTGAACCCGGGGACGCGATCAACATTTGTTTTTGACACAGCGTCGGCTCGGGGGGGGGGGGGGGGGACAGCTTCACTGCGAACAGAACACGATCGACTGATCGATTAATTGTTGGGTTAAAATCGACTCAAGGACACAGATTAACTACGACGATTCCCTATTTTGATAGTTTGACTAAAATTCTTTGCCTATGCAGTCAATATTATGATGGAACAGAGAAGTGCACGTACATTTTTTTGTAGGGAGACCCCCCCCATGGCAATAGCACACTTTTATAAACCCATGCGTAGATGAGAGGATGATAACATTAGTATGCATTTCATGAGACGTGGCGAATGAGAATGAGAATTTTATTGGAGGTATTCGGCATAGCAGAATGCGATACAATTTCTTGTCTTGATAACCAGAAAAATAAGTCAAGGTCGCAGTAAGCGCCTGTTCCATGCAAATCTGCGACACATTTTTGACATGTGGGGTCGGAATTGAAAGATTTTTACAGCACATATACACAGAAAGGAAGGAAATAAATCTATGTATTGTACTTAGGACTGTGTTTCTGAACTCACAAGTGCGCATTCATTGAACACGGGTTCAAGAGAACATTCCATCTTATCGGGAGACGCTGACTTCGAAGTCAGGCTAGAAGTTAAATTATTATGAACAGTATTTCCCGCGTCCATTAGCCAAGATTGCTTTAAACATGTCACGACCACTTTGTTCTTATTCTCCTTCTTGTTCTCCATAATTTCTGATACATTTACCATAATCATCGTAGCAATCAATCACCACAACTTAAAAAAGAGATGTTAAATAAGTTGACCTTTGCTTAGTTTAGAGTGGAAATCTTGCCAGACCTCAGTTCCGTACGGCTTCTAGGCCTGCCTGTTTCGCTCAATTCTTCGCTAACCTTTCGTCAACAAAACTCTGATGATCGAGGTCTTACTTTCGCGGCAGACCGCTCAGCTCATAAACCTGGACCCCAGACAGATGGCAGAGTTAAAAATACTATAAATATTTTTGCTGTGGGTTTGTACGCGTCTCCGTACCTACAGGAAGAACACAAATCAGTAACACCTACGCCTACAGGATGCAACATAACAAGTGATGATGCTCCGTATAGTCTGGTAGAGGCTTATCAACCACTCATAGCCCTGATGATGGAGGCAGCAAGGACCTCTGAAACGTAGGTAAACTTCTACCATACTACGCGTCCCAACAACCCTGAAGACCGCCAACTTAGTCGCCGCGGAAACCAGAAACTTTATAGCGGAATAGGCCTTATGACGACGGATGAAGTCCAATGTAAAGACAATATGAAGACTTGGACATACCAGAAAGGATTATTATTTACTTAATTAACTTTATTCTACATAAATTTACGAGCCTGAGAGGAGAACCACGAAATACACAGAGAATAGTCTTTGTTTGTTTGTGTTAGAGATCTAGCTGTCGCCAGTTGACCGTATCTAAACCTAGAAAGCAACATCTTGTATCTCTTATTATCACTTGTTATTGTAAACAGCACACAATTTTTTTTTTATATAAGAATGACAAACTTATTCATCATTGTATCGTTTCAAGTTGCCTCGCAAATAGCTTGAGGAAACAATGCGAAATGTTCGTTTCTCGAATCAGTTTAGGGCAACGCAGGGCCCAGCCAGTTAACACTTTAAATTCCAGTGGTAACTATACGTACCATCTGCTGAAACAATCAGCAAATCTGCATTTTGTGTTAATGTGTTTCGTACCATTCACAGATTAAACAGCGATTATTTCCTTAAACAGCGTTAACCACTTCATCTTTGTAATGGTGAAGAGTTGTGTTTTCTTCGCGGTACGGGCTAGATTCTTAAATATTATATGAGCTTTCGGCTTCAGGGGTTAACCAGTCGATCTTCGTAATGGTGAAGTGTGGTGTTTTCTTCACGGTACGGGCTGGATTCTTATATATCATTTGGACGAGGTCCGATCTTCGAAGGGTGAACCTGCCGCGGTGGCATACCCGCAACGCTCTGGACCGTTCCAAGGCACATAAACCGACTGACACATTTTGCAATGAATGTGAAATAAAGCCGCATTCTTTTGTTCTGAGGGGCCTTGTGTTTAAACCTGGCATGAGTTTATTTTACCGCACGCCTTCTTCGCAAAGTGTTCAACAACTTTCTCTCGCTGATTACATTACTCGTTTCGCGGCAAGGGCAAATCATCCCGTCTCTCCTTCCAGGTGAATGCTGGGTAATCATGAACGCCTCCTTCCCGATCCGTTTCATATTGACCATAAAATGAGTCATTAATCTCACTGGACTCCAAATATTCGATATCGGCTCGCGGTTCTCGCCCGAGTCTGGCTATTGCAAGAGCGGGATTTCGCTGTTTTCCTCTACACATTCTTGTAGCTGATAGTTGTTTATCGTGGAGACCTTGGTCCTTGCCTTGCTTGATTATTGTTTCACTTAATGCTACATAATTGACTGTGTTATTTATTAAATATCGAATTGGCTAATTGTGAATTACACGTAAATTCGAAGATGACAATAAAATAGAATAGATTTAGAGATGTGAGAATGTTATTGGACAGTAGAAGAGAACATGTCCACTAGAGATATTTTATTACAACTGTGCACCTCAATAACCCGGTTTTAAGCAGACACACTCAAAATCTTGCACACGGAACTGAACTTAATAAATTATAAATTCGAAATGAATTTCAATTAAAACGTCGTGGCTTACTTCAAATATAATACTACGATAAAATTCATATTTTATATTGATATTCTGATGGAGGGACTGAGGATAACCACGAAAACTCTTTGTAAGGTTAGAGAGTCAAAGCCGGGCCTTCCGAAATACGAAGGGCGGAGATTTTTTTGCGTCGGGCAGCCGGTTTCGAACCGAGTACCTCCAGCGGAGCGAGATTTGGACGGTCCTGGTTCGTGTTGTTGCCCAAGATGGCGCCTAGTTACGTAAAACAAACAGATGATGTGAAAATGCGTAAGATCAAGTCTCATCAGTCCCATGGCTGCGATCTCCTTATCGCAGTCGCTGTCCTGAACTGCCTAATCCGAGAAATGCACCGACCTCAGAATCAAGGATTCTGAATTTGAGGTGGTCGGAAGGGGGTGTGGAAAGGGGGGGGGGGTTTCAATGTAAAAAAAAAAACAGATTTCTCTCGCCTGTCGTCTGTAATTCAATGGTCAATACACATTATAAAACCACGACAAATCCTGCTTTGACATTTATTTCAAAGAATCATTTTAGTCCGTTTGATGTCTGGAAAGATACTCTTACCGATTTATCAGCACGAAACGTCGCATATATAAACAGCCGAGAATCGAATTTCGCTTAATTAATTGCACAAATCTAATTAGTAACATCTGTGATAGCCCCTCTTGGAAGAAGTTTTGTAAACAAGCGCTGAAAAGGATCTCGCAGTGTCAAATCAGTGGAACATGGCCTCTCGGATTCTTAACCTCTTCAACCGCTGCACGGTCACAGAGCTGGTCCTTCACGCTGGCCGGGCGTGGCCAGACAGATGACTGTCGAGATTATATAACCATTGCTGATAACAGGAGTTACGCTGTCCGCACACACGGAAGCCAATACTTGTAAATTAAGAATTAGTTAGGTTATGTGAAATACAAACCTTACAGGGGCAATGTATATGGACCAAGGTAGATGGAAGATTCATTGACTTTTCTTAAAAACATGGTAATCTTTTGCACTTATTCCTAAGTTACAAATTTAGTGTGTGGGCTGGATTCAACAGTCCCAGCATGCGGACGAGTGGTTGGGTGTTGTGAAAACGGTAATGAAAATTAAGATTCTATAAAAGGCAAGACATTCCTTGAACAGTTAAAATAACACCAGTTTTACAAAAAAAAAATTAAAAAAATAAACTGTGCACCGTGGTGTTTCGTTACATGTTACGCACGAGTTATCTCGGTCTTAAGTATTGTTCAATCTGGTCTGCATTTATTTATTGCCTGAGAACATTTGTCAAAGAAACGTGTCCCGCCATTTTGTAACAGCCAGCAACAGAATTTATGTGTTGCCGTGGAAACATTACGTAAATTAAAGGAAATCAGAAGTTTCTTTACGTTTTATCAAATATTTACGTACTTTGCATGTGAAGATTGTCCGCCATTTTGTTTTGTGTCTTATGATTGGGCTGCAAGGTTCACGGGGCATGATCGGTTCGGTCATCAGCAGACACACACGTGGGACTTCAAACTGACGAAGAAAAACATTAAACCATGAAGGAGTTCATCATCTGAGCAGTCGTTACAAACTGTCGCCTTTATGAAAGCAGCCTACCGTTATTCGAAGCAATTTCTGCTGCCAGATGTAACCAATGGACGATTATGATACCTGGGAGACCCTTTGAAACACGTAGTTCGTCTAAATCAGTGGTATTCAACCTGGGGGTACGCGAAGACATCTTAGCGGGTACGTGAAATTTAAAAAAAAATATTATTTTATGATAAACACTGAATAATCAGTAATTTATTTTAGATGTAGATTATATACTATGTATAACTTGAATTATACACCAACAACTTTGGGGGGTACAAAATTGAAGAGAAATTATATCTGGGGGTACGCGAAGACATCTTAGGGGGTACGTGAAATTTAAAAAAATATATTATTTTATGATAAACACTGAATAATCAGTAATTTATTTTAGATGTAGATTATATACTATGTATAACTTGAATTATACACCAACAACTTTGGGGGGTACAAAATTGAAGAGAAATTATATCTGGGGGTACGCGAAGACATCTTAGGGGGTACGTGAAATTTAAAAAAATATATTATTTTATGATAAACACTGAATAATCAGTAATTTATTTTAGATGTAGATTATATACTATGTATAACTTGAATTATACACCAACAACTTTGGGGGGTACAAAGTTGAAGAGAGATTATATCTGGGGGTTCGAGAACAAAAAAGGTTGAATACCACTGGTATAAATAACATTCAAAGAGTCAGTTCTTGCCGGAAAGAAAACACACTGTTATCTGGGGGGAAAAATCTTTGTTTGCAATGAAAGTCACACAAATACACAAACGAACTGTGAGCAAAATAAAGGACAAATGCGAAACTTTGTTCCTGCCATGAGATGTCATTCATTACGGTGCTTTTATGTGATTGACAGGTCTACATAGAGGCGTACCGTTTAAAAAAGAACCGTTACAACAATGACGCACGATATGGCAGTCACAGTTTGCGCATTGTAGGACTGTTTCGCGTCATCTGGCCAATACAACGAGTTTTTTTTTTAAAACATCGACAATTGATCCTTGTGTGTTGATAAATGGATAAACACATTTAGATAACTGAGCTTTTAAAAGCACCAAATGCACCCAGTCTATAAATTTCAGTGCTTTTGAACGAGATATCTCGTGCATGGCATGGGAATTGTTAAAAAATTCCATTTGAAGCCGGGTGTTATCAGCGGTGTGTGACGTAACATATCGTGTTACTGTCGACAATAATAGAGCAGTGTGTCACTAATTGGACAGCTGTTCAGATAACACGGAGACAGATTGAGGGCGTCTGAGAACGGAATCTTCGGACTTGAAAGAGAGTGCCTGAGAAATGGTGAACATTACGTAATGAAAAGCTTCAAAACTTGCAAGCTTCACTCAATAAAGCTGGGGTAATTCAGGCAACACGTATGAGATCAGAAGTGCGCATGGCGGAAACGGTAATTCAGACAGAATAGATATTTGTTTCGAAACCCCCTGGAAAGCGGACGACTTGACAGAAAGGTTATCGAAAATTAAGACTGTCGGAGAAACAGTGCGGGCTGATAATCGATTCTTGAAAAGATCCTCACCATACGTTACACTCGCAGAATACTTTCCGTTCTGTTTACCCATTAAAACCCGAAACTCGCCTAAATAACATTTAAGAATCCAGTCCGTACCGCGAAGAAAACACCTCGCTTCACCATTACGGAGATCGACTGGTTAACGCTGTTTAAGGAAATTATCGCTGTTTATTCTGAGAATTGTACTAAGCCAATTAACACAAAATGCAGATTTGCTGATTGTTTCAGCAGATGGTACGTATAGTTACCACTGATTTTAAAGGGTTAAACGCAGTCGACGCCATATCGAAAAGTGTTTCGCATAAAAACCACGCCTTCTTAAAGCCCAACGTTAACCATATGTACCAAAATACTTTTAACAATTAACAAATCTGCATTTTGCCGGAAGTTTGAGTTTGTTATGACTGTTACGGTACGAAGCGACATCAATCTCTGCCTACGGAATTTAATGCAAACACCCCCTCCCCCTCCCCGGAAGCAAATTTAACCAAAATCCGTCGAAAGCAGCAGTTCTGGGTGCGAAACCCGGTTTCTCACCTTCCTGAAGCTTGTGTCGTAAAAACGAAACCCAGCGACTCCACGTTCGGTTCCCGTGCGATGTTCTTGCCGTGCGCATGCGTGATCAGAACGCCTCAGGTCCAGCGGCGCAACAAGTGGTCGCTTAGTCGCCCCGACGTCCGCGTCCCGACGCCACCCGGTCCGAGACAGCAGCGTCACGGTGAGTGGTAACCACAGAGCGCTCAATGAATTTAAATTACAGCCAGATAAGATATACGACATGTCGAGAAGGGCAGATAAATAATCGATCCCTGCATTAATCTCGATTTCATTCTTGGTTGATAACAAAGTGTTACGATAGGGTTAGTTCGCAGACGTTTCGAAGAAATTTATTGTATACTTCTTCAAGGCGAAATTATTAAACAGCCGTTTAGCATCGGTTTTCAGAAAAAAAATATAAATTCGTCGATTCTTGTAAAATCTGACCGTGAAACTCGATATTTGGTTGTACGAACGAACGTAGTTGGAAGAGATATAGAAAATATTTGAACCTAAAATAAGACAAGGTTAGAAAAAAAAAACATATAATGAGGATATTCGTAATGTTTGCTTCGAATATGATATTAGATACGAAACAGCATCGCTCTACAAACCGCAATGAAATTTCTCGTAAAAAAAATAAAAAATAAAACGTCTTCAGGTCACAGTGTCACATGTTATGTTCCCTGAGAGCAGTCAAATTAACTCGTTTCGTGTTTTCCCCCCTTCCGTTTGTATTTTATCTCATTTCTCTCCATAACTCGTGTTAATTGACGGCAACTTAAGTGACGTCCGGTAGCGTCATTATTACGTCACGTATTGTCGGCTCCACCGATAGGAGGGAGGCTGCAATATCATCACGAAATGTAACAATTTCAAAATGACTTCGGCCACGCCGAATTTCGAAGCCGAATGCCCCGAATTTAGTTCCTTCCAAACTCTACGAATGAGAAAATAATAAATATTTTAGTCTAGTAGAAGCTTACCGGCGTTTCGGAGGTGTGTACTGCCTCCATTATCCGGGCGAAATATTACCAATCTGAATTTGATTGTAAAATGCACCCGGTTCCGTATCATGACCGGAGAGTAAAGATAAACTTAATTCTGTCGTCAAGCATTTCGACTTGAAGGCGTGTAGGTTTAGCTCCACGCATTCTTCACCTTCTTACTATATGGAGATAGTCATATCAATTAAGTGATCAGTGGTTTGGTCCAACGCCTGCCGGAAACCGAACCTCGGTCGCCCAGCCCGTATAAAATCACGTCTCGCCTCCCCGACAACCCTCTTCGACATACTTTAGGGCTTTCTTCAGGTTTTGGCGTAAGGTCAGGACACTTTATGGGGCCGTCCATGTTTGACTGTCGCGTGTTTAATCACGTTATTACAACAGTCACTTTAGAACACTGCCGTAATAATTCAGAATTATGTCCCATAAGGATCAAAAATATCTGGATCATCTGCCAAGGACGTATATGAACAGGTCCCAGTCCGAGAAGAGAAAAAAATGGAAGGATCCTGTTCATATGGACCTGTCGTCAGACAGAACACTAAATAATAATAAGATGAGGTGGTCTAGCGGTTAGAACGCTGGCCTTGTAATGCTGGGGTCTCGGGTTCGATTCCCGACGGTGCCCGAATTTATAACTTGCGTTGGGCAAGGCCGTGGTCTAGGCAACACGGAGTTTTCCTCCGTGGCATCCCAACAATTACTCCATTCACACATAGAAGAAGGCAATGGCAAACCACTTCTGGATCATCTGCCAAGAACGTATATGAACAGGTCCCAGTCCGAGAAGAGAAAAAAATGGAAGGATCCTGTTCATATGGACCTGTCGTCAGACAGAACACTAAATAATAATAAGGATCAAAATCCCTTAACAGCACTGGGTATTAGCATTGTCGACTTTGCAGACCTGCTTAATCAAAATATATTGTCAAGAATCTGCCGCGTGGACGACAAAGAACGACATTGAGAAGGACATTCATAAAATAGGTCGTCGGGAGAAAAGGCGGTGAAGATGTTTCGGAGGAAAATATTGCCTCCATCTTCAGGGCTGAGGCAGGTCAATAAGTTTCTCCGAAACAATGGTATCTGCCTACGAGTTTACACGATGTCACATCCCGGAACACCGACGTGATGATTTCGTTTCGTTGTAGCCATGACGATGCCGACAGCAGAGTCCACGGCGATGACGGACGGACTGACAGACGACATGAAGTTTAACGACGGCCACCGGATGTCCATCTTCACGTACAGCATCCTGATGGCGGTGTCGGCGGTGGCCAATGTCACCGTCCTGGTCAACATCCTGAGAAGGCGACGAGCCCTCCGCTTCCGGAATAACTACATGTTCATGCACCTCGCAATCGCGGACCTGCTGGTAAGTGCGGACCACGAGTACAGTAACTCCTTTCGATATTTACACGCCCGATAATCCGAAACGTATGGTTGCATATCTCAGGTAAGGTTATCCCTGAACCCAACATCTTTACCCGGACCAGAACCCAGGATATTTTCCGGGTTTGCGATCTGTGTTACTATAAACTCCTTGTCGAAACGAATAAATTTCCTTTGGAGGTATTTTTCTCTCATATTTAGTACCCGAGCTATACGAAACTCCCTCACCGGGAAACGAACTCAGAACACCTATAAACAATCTTTACCCTGTTACGTTCTCTTCTTGGTTTTCAAAGAAACAAACACGCCAAGTTTGGTTTAGATCGGTTCATCCGTTATCGAGGTATAAGTGAAAAACTTCCCGATAGTTGAAGAAATTTAGGCGCGTGCTTATTAAAACCACATTTAAACAAAGGATCATTTAATAATGAAATAAAGACGTCCTTGTTCTTAAAATCGCACATTAAAAGCGATGCAATGTCAGTCTGGTCACCGGATTTGGGCAAGAGTCCAGCTTCACGTTCCGGCCGCTTTACCACCGAGGAGAAAACCCCCGGTTGTCCAGTTCGTACCCAGACAAGCGGAAATACAAGAGAGATCAATCCTTCACGTCACGGCTGTACGATGACCCCCGATGCTGAGAAAATCGATACATTTTTCTGAACACCATTCCAAGTATTTAACACTCGACAAATACGAACCAGAATTAAATTCTTCGAAACACGCTTCAAACATCTTTTTTTTTTTAAAAAAAAAAACTTAATTCTGCTGACCTAAAAATAATTAAAAATTAAATTTCGTCGAAATCTGTTTTTTTTTTGTATTTCAGGTCACGTTCCTGATGATGCCGCTGGAGATCGGGTGGAACGCCACTGTGTCCTGGAAGGCAGGGGACGCTGTCTGCAGAATCATGTCCTTCTTCAGGACGTTCGGACTTTACCTCTCCAGTTTCGTCATCGTCTCCATCAGTCTGGACAGGTATTCAATGACCACTCAATTCTTAAACATTTTTAAGCGCGGTGGTAACTATATATACCACCTGCTATATGGTTCTCGCCGTAAACAGCGTTAAACAGCTGATCGTTGTCATGGAGACGCTAATTTTTCTTGAACAACATCAGTTCCTTTGTTCCGTCCGTTCCTGCATGATGTTCTTTTATCGATGTCATGGCCTCTCCAGAGACGCGACCAGAACTACAACATTAACTTGGAAGAATGGCCGAAGTATAATCAGGATTAAAGGCAGTATATTAATAAGATGGAATGTTTTTGTTTTTTTTTTGCAAAACTTTACGTTCTGCGGACGGCACAATAAATGCATAGTGAAACACTTTGTCCTATCAGAAGCCAGTGAAATCAGCCCACTTTCAAATATAGGTCATTCATGTTGCTGTGGTTATCATCAAATGAGTTCTGTAATAGGTCCCACTGAAATACGATCAAGCTAGTTGATTGCTAACGCTGGTCTTGTAATCCTGGGGTCTCGGGTTCGGTTCCCGGCGGTGCCCGGATTTATAACTTGTGTTGGGCAAGGCCTTGGTCTAGGCAACACGGAGTTTTCCTCCGGGGTCTTCCCCGGTTTCTCCGTGGCATCCCAACGATTACTCCATTCACACACAGAAGAAGGGAATGGCAAACCACTTCTGGATCATCTGCCAAGAACGTATATGAACAGGTCCCAGTCCGAGAAAAGGATGGAAGGATCCTGTTCATATGGACCTGTCGTCAGACAGAACACTAAATAAATGCTTGTAGGCCCAGATAAATGGATTGTGGTTTGCTGAGTTGTGACGCCCTGTTGTCTTGTAAGAGAAGTTTCGTTTGAAAATATCGCCTTCATCTTCAGGGTACAAGGCGCTTTCTTAGTCTAAATCGTTCATAACCACTTTATAAAGACTGCAGGTTCTCATCGCCGTGTTAACCCCCGGATATCTAGTGTTTCTGTCCTCGCTGACGGGCGTCTCTTTGTCATGTGCAGGTGTTTCGCCATCCTGAGGCCAATGTCTAACGTCGTGAATGTGGCACACCGAGGCAACATGATGCTAACTGTCGCCTGGTCTCTCGCCACACTCTGCAGCATTCCACAGGTATCGTACCAACCTATGAAAAATGTTAGTTTGGGGGTAATTATTCGTTGGTCACAATTTTATGAAAATCGCATGGAATTAAAACACAGCGAAGTTATAAAAAAAGTGTTAATCGTCTCAAACATATATTAGTCTCCTATAAATTATACTCTTAACTTCAAAATTCGATTATTAAAACCTATAAAACTTCGTAAGGACACAGTATATGCAACCTTAATGACAAGAGTGCCTATAATTTATTTATAATATTTTTTTTGGTCCTTCCTACTGCAAGGAGTAACGTATACAAAAAAAAATTGTCAGAAATCTTCAAGGAAAGAGACCACGTGGAAGAACAAAGTGTAGATGGAATGATGTTAAAATTGATCCCACATAAATATCTTTTGACGTAAATACGTCTATATTTTAGGGTCAGCGTCATTCCGCAAAAAAGTGTAACGAAAAATGTGTAAGATGGTTACCTAGGAAACATCTGTTTACTCGGAATTGTTGTTACCTATAAAACATTTCATTACATTACATTCATCTACCACAGAGCCATCTTAAGCGTAACTAATTCAAGTTAAATAAGCAAAATCTTAATAAAACTTATCTCAATTGTAAAACATTTATAAAGGAAATATTTAGAATAAAGCCAATATATAAACTTCCTTTCCGTATAGACGTATTTACGTCAAATTCTCTGGAACCGTGGTTCCACTGACAAACTTTTTAGGGTGTGGACTGAATTCAAGTGGGTTCTTCTGAACACGTTAACACATATAAAAGGTGGTTAAATATTTGACCACCTGAGCTACTATTAAGTTTTTAATGAAGATGGCTCTCTCCTGGGCTGCTGTGTCGCTAAATCTTGGTAAATGACCGACGTTTCGTACGTGCTTTCAGCTCTCATAAACAGGGCACACGTCTCGTTAAAAAAATTCGTCGGAGGGGTAAGTTTTTTCGAACACAAAATTCGCATTTTTCGACAGTCTTTGGACAGTCACAGAAGAAATTGTTACGCTGTACGTGTCCTTAACTTGTCCTTTATGCCTTTCTTACATTCTTCTCTCTCTCCTTGTGCCTGTCATTACTGCAGAGTGACACGTGACAAATCTGTTCCCCTGCCCTGAGTTTTATCGCGATATCAACTTGTCGTTAACGTAGTTGGAGATCTGCTTCATCTGATAACAGGTCCATAACGACGTCACCGCGCGCCTAGTAGTGCCTGGGGGAGATCGTCGTCCTTTTATCCCTCAACAGCAACCTGGAGACAATTGGCTTGGCGTGGATCGCGTGCCAAACCCCTCCCCAGCCACACAACGAGTGTGTCTGCCTTTTAAAGTATCCATCCACCGACAAACCTACCCACCCGCACTACAATTTTCTTTTAAATTTAAACCGTTTGAAACCGAATCTCATCTAAATAAAATTTAAAAATTCAGCCCGTACCTGAAAGAGAACAACGCGTCTCTAAGACGACGATCAGCTGTTTAAGGAAATAACAGCTGTAAATTCTCAGAATTGTACGAAACACATTTATCACTGAGTGGGCAGAAAGCTGAATTGTTGATTGTTAAATCAGGTGGTACATATATTTACCACACACACACACGCACGCACCGTTCCCTCTGGCATTGTGATTGTCGTTCCCGCATTTCCTTACGTATTACAGTCGTGGAACAAATAGCAAAATGTGTGTGTGTGATTAATACGTCTGGGCACCGATTGATTACTTAACGTGCTGATACGGACCACGCCCATTTAATCCGCGATTAAAACAAATGATAATCAGAAAACCTATCATTTGACAAACCTACCACTCGCATAATTAATTATTTATTTTCACACAGCGGTATTCAACCTTTTTTGTTCGCGTACCCCCAGATATAATTTCTCTTCAATTTTGTACCCCCAAAGTTGTTGGTGTATAATTCAAGTTATACGTAGTATATAATCTACATCTAAAATAAATTAAATAAATCACACTACTGATTATTCAGTGTTTATCATAAAATAATATTTATTTTTAAATTTCACGTACCCCCTAAGATGTCTTCGCGTACCCCCGGGGGTACGCGTAGCCCAAGTTGAATACCACTGGTTTAGTCCACTGGACAGAATATATATGGACAAACTAGTCACCAATCTTCTGGGTTATGACACTAATGTATCGGACAAATGTGTTATCTCCATCTTCGGGGTTGAATATAAAGACGGCATCTGCCGATCAGTCTACACGGCGCAAACAATCATCATCATCATCATCATCAGAAATAAAATGGGTTTGAAAACTAAATGACAAGAAAAATACTTGACCATGAAGAATTAAATAGCGGATGGTAAACTTCATGACTTAAGCCATTATTACAAATTGCAGTACCAGGTAGTGCACATATAAAAAGTAGTTCCCATTGGGCTTTTAAGGGCTACGCATTTAGTCCCTAATTCACGATATCAATCAGTCGGTTAACT